AATTTTATCTAAATATTCCTTAAGGCTAATATAAGTCAAATGCTACTTAGTATACTTATCTTAAGACTACTAATAGTAATATTCACAACATCCTTAGTGCTAGATAAGCTAATCTACTAGTTAATTTATAAGTCTACCTATATTCTTAGTCTTGTTATTAAGGCCTATACTATCTATTACAATATCTCTACTTTTATAGACAACACTTGTCGCATCACTAATTATTAAAATACCTTCGTACTCTACTTCCTCTAGCTCTCTAGTAACTATAGACTCTTTAAAGTTAATAATAAGTTTATCTAAGACGTTATTAATTCTAGTAAATAGAGGGTCTAGCGAAAGGCCACCTAAAGGGCTAAGTAGTGGTAGAAACTCTTCCAAGTCGTTGCCCTCATCTAGTATTGGTCTAGTTTGAGCAGCATCTGTTGCTCTCTTAAGCGTAGATAGTCTGCCTTAAACTAGCTATAGTAGAAGCGGCCAAAAGAATACAGCCTGCCCTAGGCCTCTAATATGCTGTTATTTAAATAGTATCTCTTACTTTTCTAGGGCCTTATGTTATGGGCGAGAGAGGCCTAGCTAACGAGTATGCATTCACCTATTGTACAGAAGAAGAAAGATGAAGAAAAGAACTATCTACAAGGCCCTCCTCTTATAGTTCTCACTCGTACGAACGCTTAGACCTCTTGTCTTCCTCTCTTACTTAAGCTCGTCCGTACGTAACTACAGTCACATGACTATAGTTATGTGGTTCACTGTCACGTGACCTGTAGGTCATGCTTCTGGCGTAGCCCTTTACACCTTAGCCTTCCTCTAGGTGCGTTTTCTTTCCGCGTTAGCCGCCTTCTTTTCCTCTATAGATGTGTATTTAGGCGGCCGACCTCGCTTTTTCTAGTAGGTAGTGTTTTTGTTTAATATTGTACACTATAGTTATATTAGATATAAAAATAAATTTTGTAAAAGAGTAGAGTAATAGGAATAAGGCGTATAGTGAGAATATAGCCTAGTATATTAGGGGAAAGGCTTAAGCGTACCCTATCTTAATCTATATTAGATAACATCAGCTTCCCAACCTCTTTAGTACATACTATATATAGCGACAACTCCTACACAATAAGCTATGAGGTCTCTAGTTACTATTAGAGTTACTAGGAAAACCCTTTTTAGTATTCTTGTATATCTATAGTTTAGCAAGCTATAAGAAGGACTAGAAGAGACTTTTCTAGTAACCCTATATATAATAGACTACGCTTTATAGAGCAAACACTTGGTGTATTAAGGGCGTTTAGCCTATTACAATACTACACAGCCGTGTATTGTACGCTATAGGTGTATAGAGTAGTATAGCTATAATTTATAGCTATTATAGCTAAAATCTAAGATAGAGTTCTAAAATAGGTTTAGTGGTGTCCGCGAAATTCGAAATAGGCTTAGTGGTGTCCTCGAAATTTAAAAGTAGTATAGCGCCTTTTTGGCAGCCAAAACCACCCACCTTAAGAACGCAATAACACCACAACAACGTGAAATTATGCTTTCTTGACTATTGGAAGTCAATCGCAGACTTTGAGAATGTATATGCTCTTATTTTTGTTCTTCTATTCAAGTGTGAAGTGGTAGTGTTGTAGTGGGGGTTTTGCTTATAGTATAAGGTAGCTCTACTTAAAATCTAAGATTAGATTGAGCGTTTAGTGATCTAACTAATAGATAGTCTAGCTTATAGACTAAACTAACTCTAAGCTAAGGGGGTGTGTTAGATAAGTGACAAAATCCGGGTGCACGCAAGCAACTGGATTCTGTGATCCTGGCCAATTAGCGTTGAGCGCCAAGGCCCACCCCTGATTAGGGCTGATTAGGGGCTCCCGCTCACGTAAGACAATAGTAATATACTGTCGCGAAGAACTCTTATAAGGCGACGGGCTGGCGCGTCGTCTACAAAAAGGAGCATAATCAAGTTTACCTATTATTAATTATCACAGTTATTTATCACAGTTACCAAAATTTCAATCCTTGGTCAAATACCACCCACAGTCTGACAATAAGACGCAAGGGCTCCAGCCCGTTACAAAAGGGCCTTCCGAAAACTATAAAAATATAACTCAAGTGACTATATCATAAACTATAATATATAGATAACGTGCGCCACCAGTAAGCGGCCCACCCTAGTAAGTGGCCCACCCCACTAAACTTGACACGACTCTCCACATAATCACCACAATGCCGCGATAATAACGCTCTATATAGACCTCTTGTGAAGCTAGAGTACTTCTAGCATCTCATACACTTTAAGAGAGATATATAATAAGCTAGCGTTAGGCTACTATACTATACAACGCTCCACGAACGACGCTCCAACAACACCTCCGCAGTATCTAGCCGCAATTAGAGACAGCCTCTACTAATCGCAAGCTATTAATTATTAAAGAGAAGTCTTTTGTTTAATAGATTCTAGAGCTAGATTGATAAGGTTTTCCAGCCTATATTATTAATATACGACAAATAGCAGACGCTCTACTTACCACACGTGGCTAAGATCTACTTCTACTATTTATTAGTAAGAACTAGGTATTATGCTTTATCTAAAGCTAGCTAGAGATCTAGATAAAGTAGACTAGACGATTATATATTTAACACGCCTTCTATAAGAATCCTACTATAATTATAGCGTAGTTTAAGCTAGTAGAAGAGATGTACTAGATATATAGCGTTCTAAATTAGAATATCTATAACTTTAATAAAACTAGATTTGCAATAGATATAACTATAATATTAAACGTAGTTACTAGCTCTAATAGAGTTAATAAAGTAGTTATAATCTAGCTAGATAATCGCGAGTAGGTAAGACCCTAGCTATATAAGTAGCTATATGCTAGTTAAAGTGCTTTACCTACTTTATACTAAGCTTATCTATTATCTAGCTATCATCTAAAATAGTAATAGTCTAGTTTGTAAGGGGCTGCGCTCTAGGGAGCAATCGCGAGGTATACAAGAGGTTGTATTCGATAGAGAGCTATAGAGTCTACTTGCGTGGTGTTTATTTACTTGTCGGAGAAAGGTTGCACCGAGTGTCTGAGCGCGTCGTCTGGGCGCCGCTCAGGCCTCGCACAGATGCCGGGTTGCAGAGTAAGACCTGGCGTCTGCTGCTTGACCGAGATTCCATCGAGGAGCTATCTAAAGGGCGTTCAGCCCGTTACATAGTTAAGTAGAAGATTGTGATACTAGTTACTTTAGTAGACTTTACTAGATAGAATTATAAAGAGTAGAAGACACTAGCTAGATACATTAACACACTTAACTACTATATTATCTACTTATTCTAGATAGCTATAGTAGCCATACTACGCTAGAGTTTCATTAGTACTACGCTAATAATTAGATTATTACTCTCTATATGCTATTTTATATGTTGTATCTCCTCTAGTCTCTAGATATAAGCTACTACTCTCTACTAAAACGCGCGTATCGACGCGAGGTTAACGAGCTCACCTACTATAGCGTCTACTATATTAATAAAATTAACTATCTTATAGCTTATATACGAATCTAGCTAACTATATTTATATAGTAGAATATCTAGGCAAGCTTTTAGGTAATAGAGCTTATCTCTCTTTATCTAGATCGCGTCTTATTATCGCTAACTATTCTCTAGACGCTATCCCTACTACTAATAGCTATAGATAATAATATCATAGCGTAGGTAGTAGTATATATAGAAATACTATAAATAGTAGTAGAGCTTTAGTAGCAAGTACACTATCTCTAAAAGCAACTACGCTAGTAACTAGAGCGTTCAATAAGTATTATAATATACTAATTTACTAAAAGCGCTTAACTTATAATATAATTAGTAAAAATACTTATAGAGAAGAATAAGAATCTATATAAAGAAAATTAGCGTTAGTGATAGAAGTAAGATTAGTAGCGTTAATATATTACTTCTAGTAGAGCTTTCTAAGTATAATAGACTTAGTAGCTTATTATAGAGATAGAAAGAGTAGTTATAGAGACTAAATAAGGTGAGAGCAGTTAGCGACGTTAGCGCGCGCTACTAACGTGCACAAAGTGCCACGTTCAAGATCATATAAGCTAAAGGCTAGAATCTAAAGGTTTAGCTCCTAATCTAATGAAAGTCTATTGATTAGTGTTTAACTTTGGAAAAGCTGAACAGTTCTTATCAAGACTTATTTATTATTATTATTATTATTATTATTGTAGTTTAACGTCCTTTCTCAGCCCAAAGGGCTATATAAGACGTGCAGGCTTAAGGCCTGCAAGTAACTACGTAGGCTAGAATTTAATCTAGGTACAAATTGAGTAGGTACAATGTAGGGGGTTATCTAAATGAAGGTGAGGCTCGTAGCCTAGTAGTTTTTTAGTGAGTAACTCTCTCAGATCTTTCACTTTAAATGAGTCTTCCTCTCAAGTTTTAACGAGTAACTCTCTCAGTCGAATAGGTAGTTTAATGAGTAACTCTCTCATGTGGGTGGACCATAAATATGGTTGTGAGGGGAGAAGGATTCGAACCTTCGATCTTTGCTGACGTGAGACAGCAGAAAATTTTCCAGGCGCTCCACCACTGCGCCATCCCCCCTCAAGACTTATTTATATAACGTGCGCCACCAGTAAGTGGCCCACCCCAGTAAGCGGCCCACCCCACCAAACTTGACCTAACGTTCTACGCAATTGAGCCATAACAACGTAATAAAATAAGATAAAACTTAAAAAGTACAATTTATTATATAGCTCTACACTAAGTTCTTTAGTAAAGCTGAAAGCTCGTATTGAAAGTTATATATATATATAATAGCTCATTTTATCCTTGACTTATATGTTTAGAGTTTTAAAAGGCGCTTTATATATTTTCCAATGAGAATTTGAAGATGTAATTACCTAATCGATATCTGAATATAAATACATAAAGGTATAGAAGGAGAGTAAAGAATATCCTCAATTTCCCATTTGAAACATTGACCGAAACCTCTTCATTTACATCTCAAGAACTTAATATGGTCTCATTTACACGCATCCTCGGCTTGTTAACTATATCTTATTTTCAATCATGCAGTTCCGTTTATGCAGAACTTGCTAGGTGGGTCTCAGTTGAAGGCAATAGTACAATATCACTCCCCTTCAACGAGACTGCACTTTTGGCAGTTCTGACTCCAAACAACTACACAACACGATCTCTCACTAAATATGACGTTAATGACCCTCTATCTAAGAGGGTAGTTGATGCCTATGACCCTGCTCTCCATCCAAATGGAAGATGTCCTATCAGCAGTTTCTATGTTCCACACAATGACGATACAATGTGTGATGCACAATTTCATATTGGCGCCGACGCATCCTATGCATCTCAGAGCTCCTCGTGCTCTAGATCCATCTTTCGAAGACTCCACTGCCAACTTTGCGCTGGCAGGAATATTCGGAACCCTTCTGTAAGTCTGATATTTCTAGTTGTGTTCTCTCTAATAAAGGAATAGGAAATCAAATATTACGATACACAATGCGGTAAAAACCAAGTCTGTACACAAGACAGCCCACGATGGAACTCGTGGGGCAGATTGGAGCCCCAGAGTTATTGTCATGATGCAAATACGCTAGTGGAATTAGCTGTTGCTAAAGGTGCGACTCTAAGAGAGTACTGTTCCCAAAAGTTCCGGTTTCCCAAAGCTGGAAGTGGAAAAACTGCAACTTTCCACGCATGGCTCTATGATACAGTTTCCGGCCTGCGCCAACCAGCTCAATGGATTTATTTGAAGGTAAATGGTGCCTACGCAAGAGCAGTTCAATCTTCTGAGGATTGGACTACAAAGTTTCCAATTGATTCGGGGAGCAGTTGCGAGATGTGTATATTCCCGTTCAACACCGACTATGATCTAGAGCTCGATTGGTCAGCTGAGTTATAAGCCCAGGGCTAAGGATATTAGGGGAAACAATATTCTGTGGATATTATCTACATCTGTGGGTCTGGTCCTGTTTAGTATCTTGGGTATTGAATTTGGCAGCGATCTTATAGTATCCCTAAAAGAGAAAATTCTAATATCCATCCACGTGCGGCACAAAATGCCCTGTGCCGTAATACTCTATCAAAGTACCATCTCTTTACCAGTTCCCTTAGGGAAGTATTGAAATTTTGCCATTCCATAAACGCCCCTCCATCAAGAGCCTACATGCGACTACCGAAGTCCAATACTTTTAGCTATAGCATCAATTATTTCTTTCAGAGCATTAGGGTCTATACTGTCTTTGCGGCATTATATTACTCCAAATTTTATAATGTTGCAAGTACTGAATTGTTTAGTAGTTAAATGCGTTGTATAAGAATGTACTCCTAAACTATATCTAAGACACTGGGGGCGTAGCTCGAAACCATTCCCATTTTTCTAGCCAAAAAGATCTACGGCATATAACAGCGATCGCTAAGAGACGGCTTAGTTATGTGGATTTTCTATTTTACTTTAACGTGCATCCTTTAGTACCAGAACGATCGGTGTGGCGGAACATTATTTCTTAAGCAAGTAGATAAGTGTAACAGCGCAGGTAAGACTAGTCGGATCTGTGTTGGACGTAGGATGACTCAGAGGCATATGGGAGTGCGTGGCACACATGGGCAAACCGTTTAATCGGTCGAAAATTCCTTAAATGGTTGAACGGTTTAAAAGTAACTATTGCAAACGGTTAAATAAACGAGTAAACGATTTAAACGAACAAATAAACGATAGTTATATACTAGTAAGAAATATCTATAGCGACTACTTATTCTAATACTAGTTAAAATAATAACCGCTATTATCCTCAATATTCTAAGAGTCACCTTGTCAGATCACGTGCTATATATGGGTAGGTGACAAAATCCGGGTGCTCACGCACACCCGGATTCTGTGATTAGTCAGGCGCATGGGCCTTCGCCCATTCAAAGTAGCCCCTAGCCACTAATCCATTTAATTAGTAATTAATTAATAAATTAATTAATTAACGTGGTTCACAAGCGAATGGCCCACCTAAGCGAATGGCCCACATCTCACCAGTACGTCAACGTTAACTGTAAGCCCAGAAGTACCATGTATAGTCACGTGGTTGCCCACTGACTAATAACACTGTATTTAAACTTGCTCTTAGCATCATGTACTACAATACACAATACTTTCTACACCCTCAACTGCTTACAGTTATGAGCCCGGCCTAATCCGCATATTACTGCAATTAATTGACTACCTACCTACCTATACTATCATGTCGACGCATACCGTCTGTTCAGATATCATTCTTTAAGGATAAAGCAACTAGGAGCTATAGTTCTTTATTATTAAGTGTATTGCTGAAGTAGAAAACGTATAGGAATATATTAATTCTAACAAACTGTAACGGGCTGAACGCCCTTTGGATAGCTCCTCGATGGAATCTCGGTCAAGCAGCAGACGCCAGGTCTTACTCTGCAACCCGGCATCTGTGCGAGGCCTGAGCGGCGCCCAGACGACGCGCTCAGACACTCGGTGCAACCTTTCTCCGACAAGTAAATAAACACCACGCAAGTAGACTCTATAGCTCTCTATCGAATACAACCTCTTGTATACCTCGCGATTGCTCCCTAGAGCGCAGCCCCTTACAACAGCGTCTTGATTTGGTCGTAGACTGTCGCCTTGTCTTTAATATAATATAGTAGCTCCTATTAAATTATCTTACTAATATATGCTTTAACTTAGCCTAACTTATCTTAAAAACATTTATATTCTTTAATTTCTTTATACATAGGGGTGAAGCAAAAAAAGAGTAATCAAAAAAGCTGCTATCTTTAAACGCTTATAACTTAGCCAATAAAATAAATAAAAATATAAAAGCTTATAGTTTAAGAAGAAGACCTTTTAGAGTTTTATTTAGTTAGTTACGCGACAATTACAAAGCTCTAGAAACAGAGTAAAAAATCGCCAAAGTAGACTAAGAAAAAAGACAAACTTCAAGCCAAAATTTCGCGCTGTAATTTTTGTATTTCAATAGGCAATAAAAGCTCTATCTGTAGCTACTATTAATAGAAATAATATATTCAAAAATCAATATATATCTATATATAGAAATAGTAGATAGAAAAATAAATAGACTTTTGACGATATATTTTGAAATCTTTCGATTGAAATAGACTAGTACTTTGTATACCAGCCAGAAGCTTCTACTACCCGTCTATATCGTTTTTCTAAACTCAGGATACAATTGTCGATATCTTTTTGTGGAATCTTTTGCCACTCTTAATTTATAGCTCTAATAAAAGTATTAATACTTTCGTCTAAAGAGCCAACGCCAAGAGATCTAGTAGGAAGCTTAGTAAGCCGATCTTTAAGTAAGCTCCATACATTTTCGATTGGATTTAAATCCGGGCTATAGGCTGGGTGGTCAAAAAGTCTGACGAAATTTCTTTGAAACCAGCTTAAAACGTTGCTAGCTCTGTGGATAGAGGCGTTGTCTTGTTGAAAACTCCAGCCTAAATAGCTCTGTATTAGTTATTAATTCTATAGTATTAAGATATCTTAATAGCCATGAAATAGAAATAAAAATATCAATATATAAAACAGAAAGATATGGGAAATCCTACCTCGTTTTAAGACAGGCTTGACGTGAGGTATTAGACAGCGTCTAATATAGTGATGAGCCCGATGAGAAGTAGTAGTTTTTGGTGTTTTAATAACTACTAAATCAGATCTTCCACCTATCCAAATTGCACCCCAAACTTGGATAGTTATATCGTGGCCTATAACGTAGTTAGTTTGAATAATTATAATAAAATAATAAAATATATATAATCCATATCAAATATAGATTAATATAATATAATATAAATAAATTGTTACCAACCGCGATTTTTAGTAGAAAATAGATTTCTACCAATTTTGTAATTTCCTCTTTTTCTCGTATATTCTGAACAGGCTCTGTTATGGGCGAGAGAGGCCTGACTAACGAGTATGCATTCACCTATTGTACAGAAGAAGAAAGATACAGAAAAGAACTAGCTACAAGGCCTCCTTCTTATAGTTTTCGCTCGTACGAACGCATAGACCTCTTGTCTTCTTTCTTACCTAAGCTTATCCGTACATGACTGCAGTCGCGTGACTACAGTCATGTGATTCACTATCACCTGACCTTTAGGTCATGCCTCTGGCGTAGCCCTTTACAGGCTCCATGCCCACGTTCGATTCCTGACTCGTCCGAAAATATAATCTTTCTTAAATTAATATTAGATAGATTTTTTAGTTGGTTTTTGCAATAAACTAATCGCATTTTAGCTTTTTCTACGTCTAAAATTGGTTTTTTAGACGATATATTGACTGTCCAGCCTTCTTCTTTTAGAACCTTCTGGAGCGTTCTCTTTGATATATCTAGATTATTTTCTTTTAACAATCTAGAATTTGTCTTTTTTGGGCTTTTTAAAATGTCCCTATTAATAGCTCTTTTTGCCCGAGAAGACACTTTTGAAACTCTGCCTCTACTAGCTCTTTCTTGGTAGATAAAATCTTTTTTTTCTTTTTAATTCGAGTTATAGCGTTGTAGATAGACTTGGGTGATTTTTAAGTAAGAGTTGAAATTGATTTAATTGAAATATTTGCGTCAAGTAAACGACTAATTTCAGATGCGAAATTCGACAATTTTGGCTCCATTGCAAGGAAATACAGATCTAAGTTAGTAAAAGCTAAAAGATATGGATATATACTAATTGCTGACTAATTGCTGACTAATACCGTGCTTACCTAAGCAACGCCTGAAAATCTGAATTGTCTTTTTTTTTGTAACCAATAACGTGTGTAAGGGGCTGCGCTCCGGGGAGCAATCGCGAGGTATACAAGAGGTTGTATTCGATAGAGAGCTATAGAGTCTACTTGCGTGGTGTTTATTTACTTGTCGGAGAAAGGTTGCACCGAGTGTCTGAGCGCGTCGTCTGGGCGCCGCTCAGGCCTCGCACAGATGCCGGGTTGCAGAGTAAGACCT